CCCCTTGCCAAGGGGCTTTCTCCTCTTCATACTGCCAGGCATCAGCAAAAGAAGACTTGAGACCACGTGGAAGATCATGTCCTTGCTCCCAGTTGTTGTCCACCCCCACGGTGGCATGGGACAGCAATTTCAGGTTGGTGCATGTGCAGCCACTCTATGGGGATTGTATGCACACGTCAGAGGCGATTCAGGGTTTTTGTTCATGGGGAGTCTTCAAGAACTTCAGCTGCCAGACTGCCAAGTCAGTTCAGTAGGGATTTCTTTTCAGCGACTCGTAGCTTGGTCACTTTGGAGCAGTTGTTCATGCGTAGTAGCAGGAAGCACATGAAATGCCAGGCAACTCCTCTTCCTTTGCTGTATTTTGAGACTTTATAATGAGACATGGGGCAGGAAAACTCTTTAAAGACTTCTCACAGCTAAATTAACATGGGGAAAACAGTTCATTTTCCCCCAAACTTATTTCCAGAAGCATTCTGACAATTGAAAAATCAGCCTGAGACCAGCATCTGACATGAAAAACAATCATCTCATCCGAACCCGTTCAAATTGGACAAAGTTTTTAGGCAACCAAAATAGGGTCTTCTAGTAGCAGTTTCCAGATCGTATGATTAGCCTACGTTTGAGTCGAGGACTACAGCCCAGAACTGTAGACACTATTCATGACACTCTCTATCACAAGTCACTATACAGAAATGCGTATTAGTGCGACGTGCTCAAGATAGCCGTTTGCTTGACAAATAAGGGGAAAAAAGGAACAAATAATATCCTGGCATACGTCGCTTTGAGTCGTGAAAGCCCAGAACAGGAATGTGAAGCTGTAAAGGTTCTCCAGGGTTAGCAAATCTACACGACAGCATGTGGGACTGTGGCTCTATGGAGAGGGGTGTCTGGCGCCACGCAAGACATTAAAACCAGGATGCTGACTGCTCGAATGGCTGGAAAGCTGGGTAGGGAATTGTTCGCAGCGAGTTTTCAACCATCTGCCCCTTAGCAGCACTTTGAAATGATGTTTTCCAAAATATGCAAGCATGCTGCATCCCCAAGAAATGCAGGGGCAGTTCCTTTGTTTCCTTTGATGCCGATAAGAGTTTACAAGGCAGTAGAAGTATTGTGCTAGCAAATAATTTTAGCCAGACAAATTCGTATCCGCTTAGAGGACTGAATCGCCACGGTGAATGGATATATTAGCTTTGGGATTTGCCAACTGCAGGAAATGAAGCCTTAAACCCGGTCTGTTTTGCCTTCGAGCTCAGTTTGGTGCTGGCAGGTGCAGCTCCTTATTGCAGACTCATTAATATTGAAGATACTTAACCTCGAGTTAAATATCTGGTCAGTGACCTAGGGAGATTAGGATCTCCTGCAGGGAGAAGGCTTTATCATGGTAATCCTTTTCTCAAAGAGTGCTCCTTGCTGAAAGTTCACTGTGCGATGGCATGCCAGATAGTGGGCACAGTGCTTCACACGAATGTTTGTGTGAGCACAGCGGGCTCTGCACTTTGGGAGTGTCCGTGCTGTAGGTTGCCAGAAGTGCTGTTTTATATGGATTAACTTTGCAATTGGCTTTATGTGGGCACGCTGATCTCTGCAGAGCAGATGATAAAACAAACAAATCGCCGCTGTCAGCAACCGCACTGAACGTTCGCAGTCGTTGGAACCGGCGGCAGGAGTCGTTCATGGAAAGTGCGGCTTGCATGGACTCCATTTTCTGCCTTCAGGAGCAGCTCCGTTGTGAGTATGTTGGATGCAGCGTTTCCCCCAGTCCAGTTTCTTGCATTGCCTTTCCAGCCGGTGCTGTAACACCAATGGGGATGTTACGATAGTTTTCAAGCTGGCATTAGCACATCATATTAGATCACAGGTCTGCTAGTAGCTGGGTATTGGCCTGCCCCTGTTGGAGGCTGGCTCCGTTGCTCTTGACTGGGGAAGATCTCATTTGTGCAGTGGAAAAGCAAGGCTCCAACTGACGCTCGGTTGCTCTATTTGCTATGGGAGGTGATGGGTCATATTTAAAGATTTCCCTCGCTCTTTCCTAGACTCAGGAGCCCCTTTTCCCAAGGTCCAGTGTTGAGTATCGTACGTGGAAAAGAGCCAAGTGAGCTTGAGGAGTCATTGCAGCTTAGCTCAATTATAATTCAGTCCATTTAAGTGGACAGAAATTTTGCCTGGAGAAGCAGTGTGTTTAATAGGGCAGACTGGATGCCTTATGTTTGAACTCCTGACCTGAGCGCTGATTGCTGGCAAAATATGTAAGTGAAAATCTCTCGTTGTTCTTGGCCGGCTCGGGGCCCTGCCTGGTGCCTGTGATGCTTGAGCACAGGTTAAGTGAAGTGTTGGTTGGTGTAACGTAGGCAGTGGATGGAGCCCTGTCCCACAACTCGGGGTGTTAGTCTTGGCTTTGCCGTCGGTCTGCTGGGCAACCCAGGGTCAGCCGTGTCTGCCGTGCCTCTGTTCTTCCATCTGTAAAATGGGGGTAATGATACAACCTTTGTAGAGGGCTCCAAGGTGTGCTGATGAGATGTGCTATAGGAGGAGAGCTTCTGCAAGGTAAAGCAAGCGGTCTCCTGTTTGTTCCTAGAGGGCTGGCTTCCTCAAACTACAGCAGCTGTGTGCTGGTCTCTCCTACCTCCTATCTCTGTTTCCAGAGTGCTGTCTATTTGAGAGAAGCTTCTGCTCCCTTTTAAAGTCACCTGCCATCTACAAATGCATCTTAAGGCAACATTTCCAAGTGTTTTCCTCCTGTTCAGCTGCTCCTGCTGTCAAGTCCTGGGTTCTCTTCCCCACAAGAGCAACGATACGGTTGTCTTTGCTATTCCAGATCTAGTACTAGAAGCTCCTTCTTCCACTTTTGGAGCCTAATAAGTGGCTGCTGGGGTCGATGAGACTGCCTGTTTGTACTCGAGGGGGTCTCTACTGACATCTGGGCACTTCTGGGGGTCCTGTGCAGTTCTGCTACAACAGCTGTGCTGCCGGAGTACAGTCTGAGAAGGCTCCAGCTTTTGAACAGAACATGCCAGCTGCTGAAGGTGCGGAGTGTCTCCAGATATCTTCGGCAGACGAGATTCTTTAGTTCAATGTGATATCTTTTATTAGATCAACTAAATCGTTGGAAAAATTGTTCTTTGCAAGCTTTTGGGCACAAACACCCTTCCTCAGGGACAGACGACAGACTCTCCTTATGCCTGAAGAAGGGTGTTTGTGCCCAAAAGCTTGCAAAGAACAGGTTTTCCAACTATTTAGCTGGTTTAATAAAAGATATTATATCTACCCAAAGAACCTTGTCTGCCTGTGTCCTTAAACCAACATGGGTACCAGCAACCCTCCAGATACCTTCCATTTGCTGTGGAGCAGTGGCAGAAGCTGGGCCCCACTCAGCAACAGAGCGGCTCTGCCTTTGGTGTAGGCTGGGCCTGAGATTTTAAGAGACCTTTTGGATCAAGCCAAAGTTAAAGGGAAACACCCACTGGGGGAAATCCCTATAAAATGTCCCTAGGTTCCTTCAGACCTCTTGCAACTAAATCCTCTCACTGCTTTCATGTTTTGCATCCTATTTGGCAAATGCACTTCATATACAGCCAAAAGAACGGCAGTGTCCTGTCCAGGGGGCCTTACAGTACGTGTTAATTAAATCCCTTGCTACTCCACGTTGGAAATAACTGTGAATAATGGTGTCTCTTGACATTTATAAGGGTGCTTTACATCTTCAAAGCCCTTACAAAACTTAATGATGTCTGTTTTGATAAAATGCTGCCCTTATACTGGATGAAAGGGAGACCATATGAGTGGTTTTCCCTACAGCATTGTCTGTACTGATCCCCTACCACAAGCAGGCAAGTCATTCCCTCCCCATATCAGCCCTCCCTGGTTTGGCTTCAGGCTCAAATTCAGCCCTGTCTTTTGCATATAAGCGCTGTTGTGCTAAGCCCTGGCCTGGAAAACTTGCTCCTTGCTGAACCGAGCTGTGTCGGATTTAGTCTTTTAAGAGAGCTAAGAGCCACTGGCAGAAAACCAGCAATCTTGTAAGCTCGGGAGGGATTGAAGGAGACGTCGGAGCATCTGCAGGATTCTCTTGCGATAGCTGCCAGCCCCCTGTGATGGAGGTCAGGTGTTTCATTTATTCTAAAGGAATTTATTTTCTAAAGAACGCTCTTCCTGTTTTGGTGTCACTGAGGAAAAAGTTGCTTTTTGTGTTCTCAGGTCACTCAATTCTATATGTATTCAATTTAAATGCCCGTTCTCTGTCCTTTCAAAGGTACTTCTAGAAATCAAGCAGTATATTTGCATTGATGCTGTATAACTGATCATTATTCACTGGCATCTATCTGTCTGTAGCTGTCTTCTGCAACCGTGAACTACTAATAAAGTATTAGTGCTCTTCCTGAATATCTCCTGTCTTTCCCTAAGTTGTCTGGGACTCCTAGCCCCTATTTTTTGCCTTATCTGCTCCTAACACTTTGCACTTGTGTTTCCTCATATTCTTCCTTAATTGCACTTGTATTAAGTTTTATATTCTGATGGTAATGCAGTTACAGTTGGATCCAGAATGTAGGAAGTGAAAGGACTTTGATATTCCACATAACCAGCTCACAGTGCTGAACACAACTGCGCTGTGTCTACCCTGACTACAGTCAATGTGGCATTAGTTACTATTGGTAATTAAGATTTGTCTAATTTGATGCAACTTGCTAGTGAATGTACATCCTGGAGGGCTTGAGTGGATGTCTTGTGCTTTTCCGTATTTAAAAAAACAAAGACGAATCTGAGCACAGTGTGATGTATGGATTCTTCGTTCATGTTATCCCTATATCAAGATTCTTCACAATCCAGTCCTTCCATTTTTCCTTTTTAAGAGCTATATTCAAGTTGTAAAACTGAAAAACGCTTCATTGAAAAATCACGTAGCCATTTGGCTTTCTCAAAAGCCTTGACCCGTCATATAATGTTAACCTTATGCATGAAAGTAATTTGGCCTAGTGATTTACTGTTTTTTCTCTGCGTTTCAGTACCCCACGGAGGGATCATGGATGAGAAGTTGTCCCACAAAGAGTTTATGGATCACAAAGAGACCTGGGCAATGGAAGAGAGAGACCTCTGCTTTGAACCGCAGGCACTGTTCGAGCCCATGGAGGCAACAGGTACAGCTGTATTACCCAACGCAATAATTGAAATCAACTTAGGGCTGCAGCTTGACTTGGCAAAGTACTGGAGTGCGCGTCTCGCTGGTAGTGCTTGTTCACCACACGCATTACTTTCTTTCTTCCCTTCTGGGATGTGGTTCCCAGTATTTCAAAAATCCAGCAAGACTTGGACACCAGTAAGTTAATTTACAGTGCCAAGCTTGCAATCAGCATGGATTTATTAGGGGGAGATCATGTCAGACCAACCTGATTGCCTTCTATGATCAGGTCACTAAGGCCATGGATGCAGGTGTCGCGGTGGATGTAGTCTTTCTGGACTTCAGCAAGGCCTTTGACACCGTCTCTCACCCCATCCTAGTTAAAAAACTAGGCGACTGTGGCATAGATGCCTACACAGTCAGATGGATTGCAGATTGGCTGA